GGGGGGGGGACACCCCGGCCCGGCGTCTTCGTCACCATGCTCCAGGTGAAAGAGATCCGCTTGCCCAGCTCCGGCGGCCGGGACAGCCCCGAGGAAAGTAGGAAAACCCTCTCTGAACGGGACGCCCGGTCATCGCCGGCGCCACACCGTCACGCACGACAACGTGTCGCCCTTCACCATTACCTCTTCTCACTTATCTGTATTCAAATCATTCCATCGTGTATTGTCGATGACGACAACGGCTGCTAACCGTCGCAGCGTAACTATCCCAGCACGCAGACAAAGACAGAGACAAAGCGCACACTAGGACAGCGACAATAAAGAAGGACCATGGCGATTGCGGCCTGAGCGGATAGGCCAACCCGCAGCACGACAGTGCGTGCATCGTCACGCCCCCTCGGCCGGCCACGTACGGGACATTCGTATCCCATAATGAAAGCGATAAAACCAATTAGACGATACGCGATGGCCCGGCCACGGCCGCGCAGCTCACTCGCGAGCAAATCCTCGCTCGCTGCCACGCCCGGGGAAGCGTGTTCTTGACCCTTTGGTTTCGCAAGCACACCATATGTTTCAGGGCGATGCAATTTTAATTTGCACTAAAATTTAATTTTCATCGGGACGAGTCCAATGCCCTCGGTCTAACCGAGCACATTTACTCCAATCACGAACTCGCATGGGCGCGTACCCTCGTTGATTTCGATTTTACTGTCAGGGATATCACGTCGTAGTTTTTTGCTACGTTACAGGTGATTTGTCTTGTAAAATCACCTACCCACCGGGCTTCCTACTCGTTGATCGGCCAGATAATATACTACCGTTTGGCGTCTGAGGTCTGAGTCACTCCATCTACTCCTGCGTGGTATGACCTCGTGACCCCCCCCTCCGCGCCCGTCGTTCCCAATACCAGCTGGGCGCCGGACGATCGAGACCGGAGCCCGGCGCGCCCGCAGCGCGTTTTTTCTGCTAACTGGATAAAAGCACACGTTGTTTTGGGTGCACGGCAGCGACGCTCCCGGGTGGTCCCGCCCGCGGCGCCACCGCCACCTAGACCTAGCGCCTCCTATATGGTCCTCGACGCGGCGCCCCGACGCCTCCTGCTGCGCCGGGTCCAGGGGCCTTCCGGAGTCCGGCGCACACTAGTCGCCGCCGTTGCCGCTGTGCTTCCGGGGGACAATGACGATGACGCCGGTGATCGCTATCCGAGGGCCGCGAGGCGTCGGTGTGGCGCCCTTCCCGTCACCGCGGAGTCATCGCTCATCGCGCATCCTCGTTCCACCCGCCCACGCTTGCCTCGCAAACTGATTTTTCGACGAGCGCTCAAGGGGGGGGGGGGGTTCTCTTTCTCTCTCGCACCTGCTGGCCGTGCCCCGTGAGTGCGACGGGCACGGAGGCATACGTCAAAGCCCGCGTGTGGATGTGGAATCAGTCGACAGAGCTCCGTTACTTTGGGGCACTGCAGGGAAAAACCACGGCGGCCAATGGCTCTGTGCGACGCGGTGTAGTTCATTATTTGGCGTCTCTCTCGGGGGGTTTCCCTCAGTTAAGGGAAGAAAGAGAGACAGAGCAAATGGGGGGCGGGGGGAGAACGTTGGGGCAGGACTGAGGAAAAAGAGAGAGGGCGCAGTGTGGGAAGCGGACGCAGCCGTTTCTGCGATTAGTAGTACCCCCTTCCCCCCTCTCATTCCTCCCGGGGGCCCCTTCCCGTCCCGCGTGGCCTGACCAGTCTCACGTGCGAGGGGAGGGGGGGGGGGAGTCGCGCCCGTCTTCACGTTTGCCCCCCTTCCCCCTCATCCTCCATCTCTCCATCTCGCCTCTCTTCCTCGCTCCGCGCCGCCCCGCCCGCGCGCTCTGGAAGAGAAGGAGTGAGATGGGCTGACGGGGCGCGCAGCAAGTACGATGATGGAGCCGTTTCTGCGAATGATTCTGATACGTGACTGCGAACAGGTGAAATGGTAAGGAAGGGGGGGGGGGCTGCCTCCGTCGGAGGGCGGACATGCCAGCGGCGCCCTGTGCCCTGTAAAACAGACGGCGATGGTAGCGAACAATACCTCACGCCTACCGACACACCATGAGGAGAAACAATAAGACGTTTGACGTTTGCTCGTTTCTGGTACAACCATGCGGCTACAATGCCTTGGGGTGATATTTCTGTCGAGTGGTGTTGTCGAGCAACCTGCTCTGGGGGAAAAAAGGAACGGGTAAACGGGTCAAACGGGCATTTTGGCAGGATTGATTATGCCTCCATTCGTCAACGCCCCTGATCAGACTCGTGGGTCTGCTCTATTGGTACCCCACCCAATACAGTTGGTGGTGTCCTGCTAAGCCTCTCGCAAAAGGTTGATACTGACGTATTAAGTGTTCAACTGACGTGCACATAGCAATATGTTCAACACTCTGTCGGAAACGATCAAGTAGTCGACTGGAAATTTATTAACAAGTGTTGAACCCTGCTGTTAAACACTTTAAAGTGCTCAATCACAAGTTTGCCACCAAAAGAATCCCGCGTCCTGGGCTTGCTCCATAGTCAACGCAATGGACTCTTCACTAGTATACAAAAGAAAGTATCTTCACAGTAATTTGTTTCCCATGACCAGTCGTAGGAGATATAGTATGCAGATTCTCCTAAAGGGCACAGGTTAAGCACAGCGTCCTTGGAGCGCGGATCGCTTGAGTCCGCTGGAGTCCCTGAGGCTTAGGCCCCTATCCGCCGCATTGACGTCACAGACTCCGGGACGGGTGGGCCGTCCAGGGTCAGAACGCCATCGCAAAGGCGCAGCGGCTTTGTCCTCCCATTGATTTACGCCAATTTTTATTTTTGTCTTTTCGCCATTTTCTTCTTGCATTTGACTTGCACCGCGCGGTGGACGCCTGTCTGTCGGAAACAGATCCTTTTGCCCCTCCTCATGTTACCCATACGCCTTGCGCAATACAAACGCACACCCTTCTTTTCTCCTCTTAACTGGGTCAATACGGGTGTTCTCGGAAACGGGCATACGAGTATGATCGTAATTTGGAGGGGAGGGGG